GATTGAGAGGGGGAGGCGGGAGTAGAGAGAGGTGGCAAAGGGGGAAGGATCGAGGATGCGCAGGCGTGTGGACTGGCGGTGGTCCTCCCGCTTCCATGCGACGTCGGCGCCTCCCGTCGTCCAGCCGGGCGCTCTCGCACCCGGGCGGCGCTGGCTCGTGGTCGCGCCAGGCAGCACCGGCTGCGTGTTTCGGGGCGCACTTTCCCCCGATCCCGTGCCATCGTGCGCCCGCCAGAGGCCACGGAGAAGCAGGCTGAGCAGTTGCAGACGTGGCGTTCGCCACACAGCGTGACGCTCTCACACCAAAAAGCAGTGGACGTCCTGGGGTCTCAGGGTTGGGTTTCTCGTGGAAGGTTTCCTGCGGTCGCCCCTGCTGTATGACCTGCGCTACATGACAAGCCAGGGCCGCCGACGATCCTGTCCGGTGCGATTCGCTTCGCTGGCTGGGGCCGCGACCCCGATTCCGTTCCATGCGGTTCGCTTCACCGGCACCGGCCCGAGCAAGCCGGACACGGGCGCGGCGATTCGACTTCCATTCGATTGGGTACGAGCCTTTGGCGATGCGATCCGTTTCCGATGCGATCCCGCGGCTCGATCCAGCTCAGGCCTGCAGGCGCCCGGGGAGGGCACCATCCCCAGGCCCCAGACATCCGGCGGCTGCCTCAATTCTTTCGATTCCTTGGCCCCAGAGGCCTGGACACCTTCCCTATAGGTGCGGTTTTTCGTCCCGAGCCGTTTTTCGACGGTCCCGAGGCCCGGTGAGGGACCCCAGAGGCAGAAAATAGCGAACAACCTTCCGACGTCCTTTTTACCTAACAGCGAAGTGGGGTCAAAAGAGATGGCATCTTGACTCCCCAAGGGGGTCTGGTCGGGATCCGAACGGGATCCGGACGGGATCCGGGGACTCTTTTTTTAGCCAACTGTAGGCCACTTCGTGGTCTTCGAGTTCCCAGAATTCCATTCCTGGGCATGATTTTGAATGCCCGGAGCCAACTGTAGGCCACTTCGTGGTCTTCGAATTCCCAGAACTCCATTCTTGGGCATGATTTTGAATGCCCGGAGCAAACTGTAGGCCACTTCGTGGTCTTCGAGTTTCCAGAACTCCATTCCTGGGCATGATTTTGAATGCCCGGAGCCAACTGTAGGCCACTTCGTGTTCTTCGAGTTCCCAGAACTCCATTCCCGGGCCACATTTTGAATGCCGAGGCAGGCTGATGCTGAGGCTGAGGCAGGCTGAGGCTGAGGCCGAGGCTGAAGGCTGAGGCTGAGGCTGAAGCAGGCTGAGGCTGAGGCTGAGGCAGGCTGAGGCTGAGGCTGAGGCTGAGGCAGGCTGAGGCTGAGGCAGGCTGAGGCTGAGGCTGTGACTGCGACTGCCGTTGCCACTGCGACTGTCATCGCGAATGCGACTACGACTGCCAGAACAGCAGAATTCTACAACTGGATTCTCATCTGAATGCTTCCAGATGTGCTCCTACACATCGCTGTTAGGTTGCTTTGCCGGGAGGCTGAGGCTGAGGCAGGCTGAGGCTGAGGCCGAGCCTGAAGGCTGAGGCAGGCTGAGGCTGAAGCAGGCTGAGGCTGAGGCAGAGGCAGGTTGAGGCTGAGGCTGAGGCTGAGGCAGGCTGATGCTGAGGCAGGCTGAGGCTGAGACTGAGGCTGAGGCTGAGGCTGAGGCTGAGGCTGAGGCTGAGCAGGCTGAGGCTGAGGCCGAGGCTGAAGGCAGACTGAGGCTGAGGCTGAAGCAGGCTGAGGCTGAGGCTGAGGCAGGCTGAGGCTGAGGCTGAGGCAGGCTGATGCTGAGGCAGGCTGAGGCTGAGGCTGAGGCTGCAGGCTGAGGCTGAGGCAGGCTGAGGCTGAGGCCGAGGCTGAAGGCAGACTGAGGCTGAGGCTGAAGCAGGCTGAGGCTGAGGCTGAGGCAGGCTGAGGCTGAGGCTGAGGCTGAGGCTGAGGCAGGCTGAGGCTGAGGCTGAGGCCGAGGCTGATGCAGGCTGAGGCTGAGGCAGGCTGAGGCTGAGGCCGAGGCTGAAGGCAGACTGAGGCTGAGGCTGAAGCAGGCTGAGGCTGAGGCTGAGGCAGGCTGAGGCTGAGGCAGGCTGAGGCTGAGGCAGGCTGAGGCTGAGGCTGTGACTGCGACTGCCGTTGCCACTGCGACTGTCATCGCGAATGCGACTGCGACTGCCAGAACAGCAGAATTCTACAACCTGATTCTCATCTGAATGCTTCCAGATATGCTCCTACACATCGCTGTTAGGTTGCTTTGCCGGGATAATTGTTGACGGTCCCGAGGCCCGGCAAGGGCCCCAGAGGCCGAATGTGGCGAAAAAACCTCCCGTCGTGATTTTCCCGCGACTCGAGGGGGTCTGGGTCCCCTGCCGACCGCCTCGGGGAGTCACGGCCTGGTCGCGGGCAGATGTTTTTCGCCACTTCTGGCCTCGGGTGGCCCTTGTCGGGCCTCGGGACCGTCAAAAGTTGATTCAGGATGAAAAAGGCCGGTCTCAGGAAAGGAGTCCAGACTTTGGGCGTCGACGTTGTGATTCCCTCTCCTTTGTTCCTCTCCTGTCCCCATTGCCCCCCGTCCGTCCTCTTCCTTGCGCCCCCACGTCCCTCCCTCGCCCCCCCTCCTTCCTCGGATTGTCGCTCACTCTTCCCGCGCCACCTCGCCCCCATCCTTCCTCCGCCTCCCCCCTTCCCTCGGTATCGTTTCACCGATTCCCATCCCCATCCCCATCCCCTTCGAGAACCCCTACCAAATTACCACCCCAGTTGGGGATACACGCCTCGAAACCTGAAAGGAACGACCTATGTCCCCATGTAAGGGGGTAAATCGGCCAGTGGGACCCAGGCCACGCCGCTGGGGAAGGGGATCGGTTGAACGATATTCATTCCCTTGTGCCTCCCCAGTCTTCTGCCCCGTTTCCTCCCTTTCTCTCTCTGAGATTCTCCAGGGGAGATCTACGTGAGGCGTCTGGGGCCCAAGTGAGTGAGACCTGAGCCTGTGCCTCGCAAGCCTTGTGGCCCTCTGGAGGCCCGCCAGCCTAGCTTCTCACTGTTTTCCTTACCCTATTTTCCTATCGCCCCGTCTCCGTGCACTGTGCATGCCCGTCGCCGTCTTTGGTCTCTCAAGGCCGGCCTTTTTAGCTTTAGCTATCGTACAGGGCTCGACTGAGCCCCCGCGAACAGCGAGTTGATTTGGTCCGCTAGCCAGCAGGAGTGCAAAACATCAGATCAGCAATCAGACTGGTATATCGGAGCTTGTGGCTTCGATTCGTGGGCGTGGCCGCACGCTCACCAACACGGACACTCGAGCCCAATACGCGAACAGTTTCGAGATGAACGACCAAGGTCAAGGCCGCTCGTACTACCGTGACGACGAGATCGTGGTTCATTGGTCCGAAAGATACCCGTACCCGGGGCCAGCCAAGGTGAGATGGGCCGTCCGGGGGAGCGGGCGCTTGCTATTGTGCCCGGACAGCTTGCCCCGCGCGCGCCAATGCAGCATTCGCGCGTCAAGACGCAACGGCGCGCTCGATGGTTGGGTGTCTGATTGCAGCGACAAGCGCTGGTTTCTGTTAGGGACGTCTCGGGGCATCGTGGTGCACGCGCGGCTCAAAGCCGCCCATATGTGGTGGCGCTTGTCCCAATCGGTACAGAGTTGCATTTCCTCGCGATCCTGGCAACCAATGCGTCTGGGCCTGCCCTGAGGAACGACGTTGCAATGTCGCGCCCCCGGGGGGCCGCAGCGGCCACGTCGGGGACGGCTCTGGAGGGCGTGATATGTGCTCGAGAGCGTTTTGGGCCTGCCGCCACCTCGGCTATGCACGGGGACCTGCCTGAAACCACCGAAATATACCCGGACCTAGCTGGGGTGGAGCTGCGGCACCCCGGCTAGGTACGGGTGTGTTTTTTTGGTTGTCATGGGGCAACCGTGCCTAGGTGGGGTGATCCGCAGACGGCCGTCCAAGGGGGGCGGCCTCTGGCGACCTCGCCCAGGGCACAGATTCGCGATGTCGTTGCATTGAGACCGCGGCCACAAACATAATGGTGTGAACTTGAGGAAACCCAGAATTCGGGCATGTTTCGGGCAAGGGCCGTTTCTATGTTAACATAGAAAATTTGGTTTTTTTTCGGACGGCGGTTCGGGGGGATTTTTTTGTAGTTCTCCTTTTCGGAACTAGCTAGCGTTGCCATTCGTGGCTTCCAAACAAGAGGAAGGGGAGCAGCAAAGAAAGAGGAAAGGAGGCTTACGACAAAATGGGGAACGTGCGCAGGAACAAACATATAACGGACGAAGGAAGGATGAGACAGGAGGAAGGAGGAAGGGGGGAGGTGAAGGAGGAGAAAGGAGGACAAGCGGGGAGCGAGCGAGCGGGGGGCAGCTGGGAGCGGCGCGGCGCGCGCGCGACGCCCCCGCCGCCCCCGCGCCGCCCCCGCCGCCGCCCCGCCGCGACGCGCACGACGCGTGCCGCCGCCGCCGCCGCCGCCGCCGCGCACCGCTGCCGCCGCCGCCGCCGCCGCCGCCCACGCACACGCTTCGTGGCCCCAAAGGGAACTCTTCCGAGGGCCCCAGCGGGAAATCCAGCATGCCCCCTGTCCTTTGGCACAGCCCTTCACACGCTTCGTGACTCTATAGGGACCTCCGCCGAAGGCCGCAGTGGGAAATCCCGCATGCATGTCCCTCAGTCTCCACAGTGGTGACCCCATCACACGCTCCGTGGCCTCATGGGAAGTTCCACCGAAGGGCCCCATATGGAGTTCCACGGAAGGCGCGCCCTCCAAAAGTTTCGTGCCCCCATTGGGCGCTCCCCTAATCCACGTTTGCGTTCTCGCTCAGGGCCCCGACGCCCCGTGCACCCCCCGAAGCCCCCCTGGCTCGAGAGTCTTCGCCGAGGGCATTTCATATGATGATGTTCATATCCCTGCTGTGTGCAGCTCTTCACGCCCGCCCGTCGCGCGGCCTCCGTATCAGTTCGCCCTGCGGGGCGCCCTCCATATCAGAGTTCATGTCCGACGGCTGGGGCGACAGGTACCAGCAGCGCTTCGGAGCGGATCCCGTGGAACCTGGTGCGGATCCCGTCTTCCCTGGTGCGGATCCCGTCGACCCTGGTGCGGATCCCGTGCACGACCCTGGTGCGGATCCCGTCCACGACCCTGGTGCGGATCCCGTCGGCGCGATCATCCCTGCGTGCCATGCGCTGCTCCCCGTTCACGCAGACGTCGTTGTCGACCACCAGATGTTCGGAGCATTGTTCGATGCGGCGGTTTCCGCAGACTTCCAGTCGGACGAATTGTGCGCCCGAGCGGAACGGATACTTTCTCAGCAGGGGGTCTCGAGCACCAAGGCCATGCTGCATGGCATCAACTTGTCGCACCACTCACACGCATGGACAGTGAAGGAACGCCTCGCAGAGCTTACTCTCATGATGGACAGGTGGCTCAGAGGCCAACTCGAGATGAAGCTCACCACTATCCCAGACGTTAACCTGGTGATGTACGCGATGTTCGAGGCCTACGACGAGACGCCGTTGAAGACTGGAGCCGTGCAAAGTGAGGATGCAGTGCTGCTACCGCTGCACAGCTACATGGAGTCGATCGAGGACGTAGGCGGAGCGGGTGGAGACGGCGACGGCATCGACGGTTATGGCCAGATCAGGGCTTCCAGGCCCCACATCCGCGTGAAGGACACGCAGGTTTCCAAGATATTCCAGGTCACGCGATGGGCATCAATGTTGATCAGAATCGGTCCGACATATTATCTGTTCAGGGTGAAGACGCTGAACTCGCTATCGAACCTTGAGAGCACCACCTCGAACGTCATCAACAAAGCGCTTGGCTCCGTCGAGCACCTGAGTATGGCCCCAACCAAGTTCAAGCACAAGATCAGGGTTGCCATGTCGGACGCCGCATCCTCCAACATCCGAGTCGAGTTCGAGAAGAGAAAAAAAGGACAAGCGCTGCCTTCACTTGCTCTGCCACGTCCACAAGGTCTCGACGTGCAACAAGCGTTCTTGCCAGATCGTCGACTTGTTCTTCACTTTCGGCATTCGTTTTTCTCTGAGCCTGCAAGCCGCTGGTGCCATGGCGCAGTTCAGGCAGGCCATCGTTGAAGTGTTGATTGATCACGCCGATGTCCGACGGGGCGCGTCTTCGCAAGAGGCAGCGGCATATCGGAAAGCAGTGGTTCAGAGCTACCTTGGAAAGGGTAAGGGGGCGCGGGCGCGATGGGCGACGCTCGAGTGCACTCTCAGGGGAGATTGGCAGAACCATAACCACATCGAGATCTATGTGGGCTGGGACGAAACCAACTCAGTCCAACACGTCATCGAGAAGCTGTCCTGGGATATCTTGTTCGCTATTGCCCCCAGAGCCCTTCGAGTGTTCAACAGGAAAAGCTGGACTGGCTTGTCAGAGGCGCTCGCGGACATTTGCTTCCTAGACGCAGTGCACGGCATCTGTTCGAAGGCGCACATCAAATGGGTTACCAACAGGGGCGAGTTGACACCAGACATGGCCAGGAGGTTATCAGCGAGGAGTTGCGCGGCTTACATGGGGCCTGGCAGCACCGCGCACCAGAAGCATCTGATCACTCAGAACGACGCGGTTGGTGCGACGACGGACAAGCAGGGCGAGAACGACGTGGCCGCAGTTCGGACACAGAACAAGGCGTACAGGCTCGCTGGCGTCAGCTTGATTGCGGACGGCCACTTGTTCGCGTACCCGATCCTGCACGTTGCCGTCGCGAAGTTGCAGGCGCTCCTCGGGCGATACATGGAGCAGAGCGGCATCAGGTGGGAATTAAACCAGCGCATGGGAACCATTGCCGACGGCGGGGCCGCTACGTTCGAGTTCGACCCGAGGCGCCCCCTGCGCCGACAGTGCGCCCTGACGAATGCAGCCCAGAACTACTTCGAGACAATGTTCATTGCGGAGTCGGACGTCGCCATGAATGCGATGGATGACTGGCGCGCTTTGCACCCCAGATCGTACACCACCTACTTCGGAGCGCTGGCATTCAGGCTCATTCTTCGGTCCAAGGCCATCGTGCACGACCTCCTAATTCCAGACGCTTCGCGTAGCCCCACAAGCCCGTCCAGCAACGGGTGCACGAGTCCACGCGAGGCTCCAAGATGGCCCCAAAGTCGCCCCAAGAGGCCCCGGGGGCCCCGCGAGGTCCCATGATGGCCCCAGGATGGCACCACGCTGCCCACAGGAAGCCCCCACAGAGACCCCAAGCGGCCACACGAGCCCCCCCCCCCGACGCACACAAGACGCCCAGGAGCACCCCCCCCCCCCCAGGGCCGCCAAGAGATCCCGAAGACGCCCCGAGACGCTTCCAAGAAGCGCCAACGAAATATCCCAAGGGGCTCCGAGAAGCATCTGCGGCGCCCCTGGCAATTTATCTTGCCGTTCTCATCCTGCTCATCCTTCCTTCTCCTACTCGTCGTCTCTTCATTCTCCTTATCCTGTTCAGCGTCGTTCCCCCCGCTCCCCCATCCATCCATCCAGCCGCAGCCTTCCCGCCACCTTGCCGCTGCACGGTTCGGCTGTCCCCCTCTTTGCCCCCGCGCGTCTTTGATCGCTTCAGCCCGCCTCGGCACATCCCTCCCGCCCCGCTACACCCCATCCCCCTCCCCCCCGTCGGGGGAGGGGGGTGGGAGAATGCAACAGAGCCAACGTTCAACTCAAGCTCGCCCAGCGGGCTGGCTGAGCTCCGCCCACGTGGGCGGGCGCGGATTGCACCGCACCAGCGGTTCCCTTACAAGCTGTTCGCCTTCCTGGCACGCCCCGAGGAGCTCGTCGACGAGATAGTGATCGCGGCGACCAAGCCCTGCATGCTCGACACATTCAGTGCATGGTTTCTCACTGAGTACCCGACGAAGGGCGATTTGCTCGGCGGCGAGGCACTGACTGTTCTGCTGTCGATCGCCAGGGACACGAAGGTTGACATTGTACACGAGGAGCTTTCAAATGGCAGAATTCGCAGACGCCTGCTTGCTGCGTCGCACCACACCCATCAGCAGCCATTCAAAACGCTTCGCGTATCACCACCAGCCCATCCAGGAACGACGTCTAGGCGAATTGATGTGATCAGGGAAGCGCGGGAGCAAGGATAGACATTGCCGAATTGTGCGATGGAGGGAGGAGGCTAATGCGAAGGCAAGGTGGATAGATGAGGGGGTGGGGCTACGGAAAAGGGATATAATGAGAAGGAGAGTAAGTATGCGGATGTAGGTAAGGCGTATGCTGATAAACGGGGAGCAGGAGGAGGAGGGCAATCAAAAGGGCCCGAGATCTCTTGGCCGCATCTCTGCGCCTCTTGCGATATCTATTGGGCGCTCCGTGGGTGCCTCCTGGGGCGTCTGGGGGGGTTCTTAGCGGTCCTGGGGGCTCTTGGGCGTCTTTGGTGCCCCTTGGGGGGGCGGCTCTTGGGGCCGCTTGGGGATCTCTCGGGGCCCTCCTAGGGGCTTCAGGGGGGGGGGGCATCTTGGAGCCATTTTGGTATTCTAATGGGGCCTCTTGGGGCTTCCTGTGCGCGTCTTGGGGCAATCCTGGAGGGCGTCGATCAAATAAGGGGCGTCCCCTAGTTAGCTTTACCCCTCTGGAGCATCTACAATCCATTATTGTGGCGATTCTAGGGCGCTCATGGAGCGCTCATGGGCGCTCTTGGGGCCGTAGTGGGCCCCCCTGGGCTTTTCTAACGTCTCTCGTGAACCATATTTGAGCAATATTGAGGCTTTTGTTGGCCATCGGGGGCGAACGGGCGACAATGCCAATATCGTTGGTTTTCTCTAGGCTTTGGAATGTGTTTGACTTCTTGGGGAACTCTTTGGAGGTCTCGGAGGCTTCTCGGAGCCGTCTTGGATCATTCTCGTGGCCTCGTGGAGCAGTGTCGGGGCCACCTTGAGGCGCTTTAAGCTAGATTGGCCACTGTTGGACACCATCTTGGGCTTTCCGAGGCGCTCTTGAGGCCGTGCTGGGCCATCTTGGGCGCTCTGGCTGTTCGCCGCCTTCTCACCCCCTGTCCGGGTCCAAGGGGGTGCGTCGGGGGGAGGTGTGAACTCCTCCCCGAAGGGGAATAATGGCGGTTGGCAGAGGAAGCGCCTTAGACCACACGCGTCCAGAGGGCGGGTTGGATTTCATCAAGTGAACGCCGACTGGATTCTTGGGTCTTTGCGGTACAGGCTCGCCGAGACGTGCGTGGCGCAAGGCACCATGACATTGAATGCGAGCAACATTTCAAAGCCAGTTCGTGCCAACGGATCCGACAGCCGTGCCACTGGCCGCAGTGATGCCGACCACTGCGGCGACGCCCCCGCTGATCAAGATGGGCCTCCCGCGCGCCCCAGGAAGCGGAAGAAGGTTCATTTGTTTCGTTATTTCATGCGCAAAAACACTGGCAAGGGTTGGAGCTTCCTCGACTTCAGCAATAAGTACCGTGAGCTGAGCCCTGGTGCAAGGGCCCGTTTGCGACAGGAGGCCGATCAGGATGCTGAGGACGGCCCCATGTATTTCACGTGTGCTCAGAGGCGGTCTGCGGAGCGGGCTCTCCGCGCCCAGGCGCGCCATGTTGAGTTGGACACCATCGAGGGGATGTTGTCTGGTGACGAGGCAGACTACGAGGTCGACGATCATGCCATCGTCGCCGCCGAGACCACTGCCGACGCCGTCGACGGCGCCGTGGCGCGCGCCGTCCGCGCCAACAGTCTCGTGGCAGAGGTGCGACGGCGGCGCCTGGCCGCGGGCGCGCGCCTCTTGCGGCAGCGGCGCTCCCACCAGGAGCAGGACGTGCAGGGGGCGCTCGCGCTGTCCCTCCCGTGCAGCGCGGGCGAGTTCGGTGAAGGACCTGTCACTTGCGTCCCCCCTTGCCTTTCCCTCTCTCGGCGTCAACTTTCCCCCTCCCCGCACGCGCGCCCCCCCCCCCTCCGTTCTGGCCGCCCCCGCCGCGACGCATCTCTCCCCCGCCGACTCCTTCCTCGCCCTCTCCCGTCCTACCCTCTCCACCATCGCCTCCTCGCCCCTCATCCACTCCTCGCCTGGCGCATTCCTTCCCGCCCCCCTCGCCTTTCCTCGCCTTGGGTGCCTCGAGTTGGTCGGAGGCAATCTTCGGCCATCGTGGGACGCTCGTGCGCCGCATTCGAGCCATATCGGGCTTATGTTGGGCAATCTCGGGGGGGGGGTCTCGGCCGCGGCAGGGGTCGACCGAGCCGCGTCGGGGATTTTGCGGCCGTTTTCGGGCCCCGCGCTTGGGGGCGCGCCCCACGGGGATCGCACGGCGGAACGCCCCCGCTCGAGTCCTGGTGACTCCCATGTGGGATGACGAGGTGCCTGGGTTGCACGCACGTTTGACCCGTTGTCGTCATCGTCGTTGCCGCCGCCTCCCCCCTCCATCCACCGACGCCCGCCCTGCATCATGATCCTGTCATCACCCTCGCCATCCTCATCGCCCCCCTCATCATACTAAACACCGTTATTGCCAGCATCTCCCCGCTGCGACTCACTCCGCATCCTCCTTGCCCTCCTCTCTGCGTTTACCCCTCCTGCGTCCTCTTCCTGGCCCTTCGCGCACCCCCGCCAGCCCATCCAGAAATGATGCCTCGGGCATTTGCACAGAGGATGTGCGCAGGTAAACACTAACGAAACAGAAATGCACACCAGTGTGAAAATAAACAAACATCGGGGGGGGGGTGGCTGATGGATCTGTGATGGGGTCGCATTGGATGCATGTTGGGCATTCCTGTGGCCCTTTGTTGACATCCACGGAGTTTTCCCATGTGCTATCTCGGTGCATAGGTGCCCTCTTGGGTACATGCGGGGGGAGGGGTGTGAGGGGTGGGGGTGGGAGCGTTGGGCGCGCGGGCGTCGCTTGCGCGCGCTGCGCCCCGCTCGGGTTTGCAGAGGTCACTCAGCGTTTCCTTGGGGGCGCTCTTAGGGCGCCCCTGGTACAGTCCCTGGCTTTATGTATACTTGTTTGTTTTTTGTCAACGTTTTTGTGTGTAGTGGCAATTGACCGCGCATGATCAGTCATGGGGGCACAGTGGCAAGTCGGGGACGGGGCGGCGAACATGCAACGCACAATCCCATATAAGGTCGAAGAGCGTTTGTTCATCAATGGTATCCCTCGGGGTGCAGCGGCCACGTGAAGGCGGCATTGTGCGGCCATGAAGACTTTGGGATGGGGCGGGGTGGGTTGGGTGAGTGGGGCGGGGTGGGGTGGGGTGGGGCGGCGTGTGTGTGCGTGAGTGTGTGCGTGTGTGTGTGGGGGGGGGGGGAAGGGGGGGCATGCCAGAACGTTATGTTGGGTTGCATTGTGCGATCTACTGCCGCCCGCGCCCCACTGCGAACCCGCGCGCGTATTGCACAATTGCCGCGCTGCCGCATGATCCAATCTTGTGTCGCGTTGGCAGTTGTGCATGGGTCGCGTTGGGCGCCTGCCAATATACCTGCGCGCGTGCGATTTTCTTTGCGCGACCGCGCCTTTTGCGCAGTCGAAAGCGGCGCGCGTCGGGACTTACACGCGTTGCCTTTCAGCCGCGAAGCAGCCCCGATGCGTCCGCCCGCGTTTCCGCCCCCCGCGGCGCCGCGCCCCATGCGCATGGCATCCCCGCATGGGAAGATACCCGTTGCGCGCATTTACTATAGACGTGCCGCCTCGATTGCGCGCGCGCCAGCGGCCGCAGGCCCGCCCGCGCCCCCCCCTTCCCTTTCCCCCAGGGCCTACAGCCCGAGGGCGCCGAGCGCAGTCGGCGCGGCACCACCGCGGCGCCACGGTATCTATAACTGCGCAGCTTCATATTTGTTGGCAACAGTTTGACGTTCCGCGCGCCCGCGCCAGCCCGCCCATGCACGGCGCCCAGGCGCGCTGTCCTCTGCCCTCTGGTGCCGCATTGAGGAGAAGGGATGGGATAATGACAAGGGGGGGATGGGGGAATCGGATGACGAGCAGAAGGATGAGTAAGAGAATGAGAAGGAGAAATATGAGGAGGAGAAGGAGGAGGAAGAGGACGACTTGGATGTAGATGAGGACGAGGAGGAGG